TGTCTTGTTACTTTCTTTGTTTTGAAATCCATTTTGTCTGATACAAATACTGCTACTCTTTTTTTTTCTCCTTATTATTTTCATCCCTTTATCCATCACTTCACTTTCATGTAATGTATGACTTAGGTCTGAAATAAGTCTCTTGTAGGCAGCATGTAGCTGGGTCTTGTTTCTTTATCTATTCTGCCACCCTGTGTCTTTTGATTGGAGCATTCAGTGCATTTACATTTAGGGTAGTTATTGATAGGTATGTATTTATTGCCATTTTATTAATTGTTTTCTGGTTGTTTTTGTAGTTCCTCTCTTATACTCTTTTCTTGTTATTTGATGGTTTTCTTTAGTTTTGTGATTGGATTTATTCTTTTAAAGTTTGTGTGTATCTATTACAGCCTTTAGATTTGTGGTTACCATAAGGATCATAGATAGTTTCCTAAACTATAACAGTTTATATTTGGTTTCTCTATTTCAAACATAGTCTAAAAGCACTTCTTTTATCTTATTCTTCCTCATTTTATGTAGTATATATCATCATCTGCATTTTATTTGTATATTCCTCATTGATTTTGTGTATAGTTGATTTTACTACTTTTGTTTTTCCCCTATTTTTCAAACTCCATACTTGCTTAGTTAATAATTGATCTTTATTTATTATGAGTTTATTTTCACTGATGAAAAATGTTTAGGCTTAAGAACTTTCCCATCTACAGAAGTCCTTCTAACATATTCGATAAAGCCAGATTAATATTGGTGAAATTTTTTAACATTTGTTTAAGTGGGAAACTTTTAATCTCTCCTTCAATTTTGAATGATGACCTTGCTGGGTAGAGGATTCTTGGTTGAAGGTCCTGCTTCAGTACATTAAATATTTCATACCGCTCCCTTCTGGCCTGTTAAGTTTCTGCTGAGAAACCTGCTGATTACCTTATGGGCTTGCTCTCATAAGTAATTTTTTGCCGCTCTCTAGATGCTTTTTATATCCTCTCTTTACCCTTAATCTTTGCCATTTTAATTACTATATATATATGTCTTGGTGTTGTCTTCCTCAGGTTCCTTTTGTTAGGGGCTCTCTGTGCTACCACGACCTGAGTGTCTATTTCCTTCTCCAGATTGGGAAAGTTTTCAGCAATTATTTCTTCTAAGAGACTTTATACTTGTGTGTCTCTCTCTTCCCTTTCTGGTACCCCTTTTATACAAATATTTTCATTTGGAGTTGTCACATGGCTCTCTTAGCATCCTTTTGTTTCTAGAAATTCTTTTTCTCTCTGTTCTTCAGCCTCATTGTTTTCCTGTTCTCTAATTTCCATCTCGTTGTCTCCTTTACTTACAGAAATTTATTATTCATTCCTTCCATTGTATTTTTCATTTCAGTTACTACATTCTTCAGGTCTGAGTGGCTCTATTCAAATATTCTATCTCTTTGTTGAGGTCCTGTCAATAGGTTTCTGCAGATCAGTGAGCATTATTTATGTTATTTTGAAATCTTTTTCAAGATTGGTGATCTCCATTTCACTTAGCTCTCTTTCTGGTGCCTTATCTGTTGTTTTGTTTAAAACATTCCTCTGCCTCCTTACTTTGTCTGTGTTTCTTTCTTTTTATTAGAGATATCTGCTATGCCTCCTGATCTAGAGAGTAAATGGCTTTATAAAGAAGGCATCCTGTGGTGCCCAGAAGCTCATAACTCTTTTTTCACCTGTGCCTGGAACCACAACTGCTGTTGTTGGACTGTGCAGCAGGCTACCTTTCTGCCTGTATGATGGCAGTGGCTGATCTCTGTCAAGAGAGACCCTTAGAGAGCCATGCCACAACACTTCTGCTAGGATCATTGTGGGCTGGGCTTCCCTGCATGCCCTGCAGTGATGGCAGTAGTCATGGGCAGACAGGGTCTGTGGGGTGGTTGTGCAACAGAGCATGGCATAAGGCAGGGCTGCCAGTGAGGAAGAAGGAGTATTTGGAGCTTGCTCCTGCAGGCATCTCCCTAGATGGGCTAACGAGGCCCAGGAAAGCTTGAAAAACCTCCCTCTGCCTGGCAGTCAGCAAAGTCTAACTGCTGCTGGGTGGAGCAGACTTGGAAGATGGGCAGGTGCACAGAGAAGTGTCTTTGGGCTTAGCAGCCAGTGAGGGAATGGAGCACTGTGGCTCCCATGAGCTCCCAACCAGTTGGGCTGAGTGAGGGCTGGGGAAACATTGTCCACTTGCCCTTTTTCCTGTGGAGAGAGCTCCTTCCAACCCCCATCATTCTGGCACCATTTCCTCTGCTAGCAGATCTTTCAAACTGAGGCCTCTGTGCTGGATCTCAGTGGGACTGCTGGAGCATGCCTGTCCTTCACAAGTGGCAGGTGTCTCAACCTCCTGGAGTGTGCCAACTCTCTCTGGTGTCCAGTCCTATTAATCATCAAAGTCCAGTGCAATATGAACTTGTGTCCCCAGGACAGATCTCTAGTGCAGGTGTGCAGAGTTCCTGTGCACTTATCCCTACCCCACTCCATTCCTCTCTCCCTCCCCTGTAGGCTAGAATGGGGGAAGGGTCTGGGTCCTGGTTGGTCACAACTCTGTCACTTTACCCTTCTCTGTGTGGTCTTCTCTTCTTCACCAGGTGTAGATGGGCTGTTCTGCAGTCTTTAGGTCATTTTCAGGGTTAGTTGTTTTTGCTGTAGTTGCTTCCTAGGTGTGTATGTGGGAGGTTTCTGCTTTGTATTCCTGCTCTGCCATCTTTTTTGCCAGAAGTCTATAGTCCTAATTTCATTATTGTGTTCTTCTTATAGATTCCATTTTTCAGTTCAGATTCTACATTTTGAAGTATACATCGAAGTCCATATCTGAAAAGTCAAGTATCTGTTTTTCTCTCGGATTCTAGTCATTCGGTCCTGTTGCTTGGCACTCTTTAATTTTTTGTTGACTATTGTACTGTCTATGGAAAACTGTGGAACCTTTGGTTGATCATTTCCTTTAAAGAGGATCTAAATCTCTCCTTGTAGACAGACTGCAGGGAGATCACCATGATCCTAGACAAGGCTGGATTTTAGGCTAGACTATTTTCAGTTTTCCCTTATTACTATGGCAGAGTCCTTTGGGGGTTCTCACCTGAAAGCCTGGGGTATTTATTGTGCTTCTTCTTACTTAGGAAGACTTGACCTCTAATTTTTGTTTCCCCAGCATTGCGAGACTACAGAAGTCTCTACTTAGTTTTTAATCTCTTAGTGCCTGCCATATATATTTCTGCTTCAGTCTCCACACATGGGCAGATTAGAAATAAAAAAATACCTCAAGGAGAAACTGTATGCAGGGTGTTGCACCTGTTTCTCTGTAGTTCTCCTTTCTCTAGGATCTTGGTTCCACAATACCAAGCAGCCTCCATATCCCTGAACACTAATATTTGTTTCTCCAGCCCATCTCTGGGCTACTGTTCTCTGGCCATCATTACCTGCTTGCAAATTGGCAAATACATAGGGGTAGTGCAGATGGCAGAGAAACAGCAGCAAATACTGGGTTCACACTAATATATTTCTCTTTTCTTAAGAAATGTGGCTTCTCAATTCCTGGTTGCCTTGATTAACTAATGCTGTTTAATTTTGCTCAGCCTTTATATTTTATATTCAGTGGGCATATTAGTCTGATGTTAGGGTAGTCTAGACAGAGCCAGGAGCAGAAGTCTCTGGCAAATAGCATCTTTTTTCACTTTCTTATTCCAAGTCATTGATACTACCAACTGTTAGACACACATGCTCATTTTTAACTCTTCCCTCTTTCATCCTTTGTATTTAATTGACAAATTCTGTGAATTCTACATTCAAAACTTCTCTTCCACACATCTTCATTTGTTATAGTCTTACTTCAATCACTCTACTATTTGTATAGCCTTTTAACTTGTCCCAGATCCTATTCTATTTTATAAATTTCTATGAGAGAAGTTATATTAAAGGGTTGTTCTAATCTCATCATTACATTACTCATTACTTACTAAATGTCTTCCCTATCCCTCATTCTCTGCCTTTTCCAACCCCCACAATGCCTAATGAATGTGGTACAAGCTTTACAGCATTTCTTTATAAGGACCTAGTTTGAAAATACTTTTCCTATATTATATTCTACTCATTTTATAAATGGCCCTATTCACTGGAATGGCACTATTTCCCATGGGCCCATATCTATCTCCATAATTTATGCTGGTTACTTTTCTTCTTAAAGGAAAGTTTTTCTTCCTTTTCTTGCCATAACTTGGCCAAACTTTCAAAGTCTACATCAAATGCAACCCCGTCCATAAATATTATGTAGTTTCCCCCAAATAGGGACAATGTTTCCCTTCTGTGAGACACCACTGCACTTTGCTTGTGCTCTTTGAAGTGGTACTTATTTTATTTTGGCCTTGCTTTATCATGATTTGTGTATTTACCAATATCTCCTTGAGAAATAAGCTCCTTCCAGAGTTAGATTTTTATCTTATTTACTATTGTCCTATAGCACTTGGCATAGTACCTAACATATAGAAGATCCTTCACAAATAGAATAAAATAGAATTCTGACAAATATCACATGCAAAGTATTGCAAATTTTATTATACGATTACAGATGTATTTTATAGACGTATTTACAGAAATGTTACCTATTTAATAATGGCTTCTATTTTAGAAATATGAATTTCTAAGACATTTTTCAGTTTGAATTGAAGGGAAAGTCTGATAGATCAATGTTCAAGCACCCTATTTTCCCAAAAAAATATGAGTTCAAGCACTTTAACAGGAAATAATACCATGATGTGAGTCATATCCTATCGTGTATTTCTTTCTGAGCTGAATAGCCATATAAAGCATACTGAAAAATGCAACATGGTTCAATTAAAGATGGCTCCCAAAGACATGAAAATCATTTAATGTTAATTTTACAATAGAGCTGTCTGCATTCAAATGAAGACTATGTGAAGAGATTTTAAGCTGTATAATTTAGGTGTAATTTTACAGGAGTATGAATCGAGGACATACTTAGGAGTGAAAATCACTACTTACAAGGAGTATTCAGGAACTGCATCCTTGAAGGCAGGAAGTTCCCGCACATATTCATTATAAAACCATTTCACTTTGAAATGCAAATTCATATAATCAGTGCTCTTGCATAACCGCTGCTTCTCATGTTCTATAACAGATAAAACCAAACATTTAATAAAGTTCTGTTTGCCAACAATGCTGTTATGTTCCAATCTACTTTTATTAGTAGTATTTCAAAAAGGAAGACAACAGTGTATTTGAGGTAAAGACAAAGTGAATTACTAATGACAGACCTGAAATTTTACATAATACAAATATCACCATAGGTTCTACGTAGAATAGGTCAAGCAGTAATGAACAAGAACTTGAATATTCTAAGGGCCTTTCTGATAAAGGTGAGTGATCTGACATGCTTAAAGAGTGATAACATTCCAACATTTTTCTATTTATCTGCAAGCTTTCATATTTTGACTATTTTTAGCATGACACAGGTGCCAGAAAAAAATGAAGACTCTGTGTGGATAAAACATGATTCAAACTAAGAGATTAATACTGGATTAATAATTAATAACTGATTAATACTGGAAACATGCATGAGTAAATCACATTTCTGGCCTGGATATTTAACACTTAAAGAGTTAAGATAGTTAAAAAAGAGAGGAAATACACCTAACTTTTAAGCCAAATGATTCCTTCGTCACCTTTTAAGTTGAGCTGAAATTATTTTGTACCCTGTGGCTTTTCTGACATTTCTTTAGCAGGGTTTCCTAACATGTGACTTTCTTTTTTTCCTTGCTTGCTCAAAAGCATAGCTTAAAGCTGTTATTTCCATCTGGGCATACAGTACTAGAGAACAGAGACTAATAACATTACTGAACATGTTTATCTCTGCTTCACCCCCAACTCTTGCCCCCAATATTAATATTTTGGCCGACTCTGGCTACATGTACAGATACAACCAAGATCCAAAACATCCCTAACTCTATTCAGGTCGAAGTGCCTCAGAGAAGTTCTGGTTGAGCTCTATGAATCTCCTTCATGCTAAGGGATTTGAATTACAGTAGACACATTTTATACTTTGTATTCCAGGCTGAAAAGACTAACTGAAGCAATTATACTGTTACAAACAAATTGAGGACATCCCTGCATTCCAAAGACTGATAATAGAGGGACTTAAATCTCAGTGAAAAACTCAGGAGGGGACACAACTCCAAAATGAACATTTTCAAGTTATCTAAACAATGACTAATTCAAGACAATCTGTAGAACAGAGAGACAAAGAGAGGGAGGAAGGGACAGAGGAAACTTATATACACAGGAATAGATAACTGCTTTGGATATGGAAGGAATTTCATCCATAAAAGCTTTTAGGTAAGAGAGCAAGCTAATGAATGCACCAGGTACTTTGTCTGGCAAACATATCTGCAATAGATTATTGCATAATGACATTCTTTGACATTATTTTCAAGTATTAACAAACACCCATTTTCTTCGGTTCTGATCTGTGAATTCAAAGGCACTCATAAATCAATGGAGCATACAAAACATTCATATTATTCTCAAAGTTTGTATATATACTTCTTGATGTCATATACATGAAGCCCGATACTGATTTTTTGGCAACCAGATGGCTATTGAATGCTAGAGTTGTCAATAGTTTAATTTTTGAAATTTATATATATATATATATATGACTTAATTCATTAAATTTTAGCTTTATTCAAATGATTTACATAAAAATTTATATAAACTAATTGTTTGTATTTTGTCTTTAAAATGTCCTAAATTAAATATTTTAAAATATTTCAGAAGGAAATAACTTTCTGAAAACTATATATGAACTATATTTGAAAGCAAAGAAATAATTAAAAATTTTAATTTTTATATTTATAGTTTACTTGAAATGACTTTTTATAAAATATATATTCAATCATGTCCATTTTGAATACAATAACATTTCATTTTTTTAATCCTTTTATAGTAAGAATGTGTGTAAACTGATTGGAGAGAAAAAATGTAAGTGGACCTCAGAAAAGAAAACAAGGCTGAAAAGAAACAGAAAAAGTTCAAAGATAAGGTGTGCTTAAAATTTTTTTAAATAGGAAAGAATTAAAGAGAACAGACATCATGTAACCAGAGAAAGACTGTACCATTTAGTACTGCTGTAAATAGAACACAAAATATTTGAAATATTTTAGCTGCATAGTTAGTAATTTTGCTAAAATCAAGGTGAAAGCATACATTTTTGGAAAGAAAAATGTATTAATTCCGTTCATATCTTTATTTGCTACCCAAAACAAAACACCCAAATATGCATATTGAAATTATGCAAATACATTTATTTGCTTATGGGGAAGGCTGAATACATTTTATTTTCTATTTTATTAGCTTGATTTAGTAAGTCTGAATCTTATGCGAATGGTGTGTGGGCTGCCATACGTGCTGTTGCTTTTGCAGTGTTAGTGGTGAGCTGGACTCCATATACTGCCTCTTCCAAGAGTGTTGGTGCGGTAACAGAATCCCCCAGGGAATGGTGACCCAGTTCCATTTCATACCAAGATTTATTGGGTGTGTATCTTGTGCCACGTCATATGGGAGACCCTGGGAGTGTAACGATGAAGGCCTTGCGTGCATGCTCAGGGAGGAAGGGTGACATGTAACAGTGCACTTAATACAATATGGCAAGTGTGCCATGATTTGATATGTATAGAAGGATGTGATCCCTGAGAGATAAACTTAGCACAACTTTGTGCTTTTTTAAGTAGAGAAATGATCTGCTGTTAGTAGTTCAATGCACAAGGAGGAACTTGGGTCAGAGGTCACTTATTACACAAAACTTCTTATTTATAAGGAATATTATTTAACATATTGTAGTGCCGGGGGAAGGGTGTTCCCAGCCCCATATGAATCTGGTGAAACCCAAATAAGTCAAGGGAAAGAGTATGTTGGGGGACAAGCTTTTTATTACTCAGAGCTTGCTCAAATTTTCTAGCTAGGCCCGGCCAGTCTTTCTCTTCCACCACGGCTCACAATCTGCCCCCTCAGCATGTTCTCTACTTTCCGCCCGCCCCTTCCAGGAGGAACTCCAGTGGCGAGTCCTTGGTGACCCGCAGATGCCAGACCAATTATGCATCAGGAACGGAGAGGAGGAGAGAATGGCTGTCCTCTCTCCACCCCTTGTCCTGGAGGCTGCTGGAGGCTACAGCGGGAAATTTCTATTTATGTGTAAATGGACTAGGGCCAGGCAGGAGATTCTGGAAATTTTATTTACTCCACATGTATGCACTTCTTCTGTGAAGTTTTGTGTGTCTAATTAAAACCTTGGGCATTTTCCTTCTCCTTTCTCATGTTTTTACATGGTTTAGTAATGAGCTTGGGTGAACCTTAAATTTATATTGTGTCATAAAAAGAAAAGTTTCACCCAACTCTGGCCCTTACAATGAAGTCATCTCTAGACTTTGTAAAGGTGCTAAAAGCTAGCTGTGGGCAGTGTCCCAGCCTTTAGTTTATTTGCTTAACCCCTTTAGATTTCACTCAGAAGTCTTCCCTTCCTCCCTATTTGGGCACTTGGCTCAAAACTTAGATTCCTCCAACCTTGTTCTCCTGGACTCTGCAAGCTCCTTACATTCCTGCGTTCCCCTTACTGCTGCTGTACCCATAGCTCCAGGACAGAAAAAACTTCTTTACCTCTAATTTTCTATAGTTACAAATTAGTCAGGCCACGTTCCCTTCTTCACCACTTCCCAGGTCTCTCCATGTGGATCAACATGGGAAAAGAGATAGGAAGGATACAACAATCTTTTTAAGAGATGAAATATGGTTTTGCTCTAGTCTAGAGATCATCCATTTGGGTTCCTAATATACCTGATATGATAACACAAACTATCAGGGTTTTACCAGTCTGCTTGCTGAAAAAAGAATATAGGAGAATTGCTAATAGTTTCCTCCTTACAGAACGACATTCACACTCACAGGATTTAGTTTCCATCCCTTTATGTTGCATATGTCTCATGCATGATCAACTAATACTTACTGCTCTCTGTGGACAGAAACAGGAGACCAGTACCATCTGTTTTCACATTCTGCCAATCCAACAAAAGAGCAATTGACATCTTTACATGCATTATATACTTTGGCTGATATATTAAGAGGTTGTCAGTTTTTTGAGTTTGTTGGCAATCTAGTTTGGTCGTGAGGAAAATGCAAACAAAAACAGAAAGTGTATCCTTTATAGTAAGGCCCATCTATGATGTTTGTCCTTAAGTAGCAAATATTCAATATAAACTTTTTTCAGCAGATTTGTCATTTTCATGAACTTTAGTATTTGTGTGGTGGGTTTAACTAACTGGTTACTGAACTATGTCCTTTTCCTACCAAGCGTACAACCAGACCACATTTCCCTAACTTCCTTGTAGTAGATGTGGTCTATGATTGAATTTGGGAACACAGTAATATATGGCATTTCCATTCTTGCCCTAAAACTGTCTTGTGAAATCCTCCCTCTTTTCCCTTATTTGCTGGTCAGATACAGATGATCCAGTGGAGGATTTCAAGGCTCCAGAGGATGACAGAGCCACCAGGGGATAGAAGCCTGGGTCCTTGAGATGCTTGTCAGAGGAGAGTTACTCAATTAGAAATACCTACTTTGACTTGTGCAAGTAAGAAATAAATAAACTGTACTCTGTTAAATTGTTTGTTATGTAGTTAGGCTACCTGGAGCTATATTCTGTTGCATCAGAAAAGGTTTCAAAGATGAGACCCACTTACTAATTAACCTTCAAAGTATGCTAATTTCCTGTTTCTCACACACACACACACACACACACACACACACACACACACACACACACATATTAAGGCTGTCTCTTTGCTTTGTGGAACTATAGTAGTTATAAGTATTTCCAGTAGATCCCACTGTGAATTAATCCACCATCACATAGGAAATCAGTTAATCAAGTTTAAGTTCATGTTAAGAAAACAGTATAAAGGCTCTGAGAGAGGAATAATCCTCTAAAATATATAGGCTTTTTATATTGATTAATATCACTTTTTATCTTCCTCTCAGCCTTGTTTCATACTTGTAGGTGTTCAGCTATATCTGAATAGTTATTACTACCAGTTAATGGCTACAGAATTCATATGCCCATT